AATTTGTGTATTTCAGATTGTTTCAAGTAAAAGAATACTGAAGTAAGTTTGATCTTATGAAATGATTATATTTTTTCGGTTCCGTATTTTAGGTTGTTTCAATTATGGAAATCACGGGTGGCTTTGGCTTTTTTCCTGTGCTGTCGCCCGCGGTATGCACACTATTCGAGTATTTCTCAATACCCGAGTATGGTATACATCAAATGAATCAAAAGTAAGATGAAATAGTCTTTAGAATGATTTCCCTTGAACGCAGAAAATTACTCTGTAGACTATTTCATCTTACTTTTAATTCATTTGATGTATACCGTACTGGGGTTTTGAGAAATACTCGAATAGTGTGCATACCGCGGGCGGCAGCAGAGGGGTAAGTGATATTTTTAACGGAACCTTTGTCGGGTACGAAACCTTTTTTTGAATGATTTCTAAAAGTTTTTGTACGAAACCATTGCTACGAAACCCTTTTTTTGAATTTTCGTGAAGGGGGTTGATACGAAACCTCACTTTTACAAAACCAAAAAAGGATCTGGCGGTGTGTCGAGGATAAGAACCTTTTTTAGGTTCTGTAAAAAACCTATTTTTTTTAGAGTGTAAGTGTACTGTTAAGACCAGCTAGTAACTGTATATACTTTTAAGTCATGTAATACTCAATAATTATACATTTTATAGCAAATTATCATAGAATGCTTTATACTGTATACAACATTCTGCGTTTTGCCTCAAATCTATCTGAATACAAAACTTCTTCCAATAAAATCTTACATTTTCTAGATATTTCACCACATTCTTTAAGACAAAGAATCTGTTTTGAGTTGAAACTCATGCCATCAACAAATCACAAGAAGCTTTTCGATAACAAAAATATTCATTCCAAAAAAACTCATGTTCTCTACAAATTATAGTGCCTTTACTTAAAATAGAACAACTTTTTCTTAAAATTTTTTAAAATGATTTAGTTTTTATAAACGTTCGCCCATGTAGCCTCTTTTTTGCCAACTGCGCCACAGTTACGCGTAGTTACCGCGAATTGATCGTAGTGAAGACTTCTACAAGAAACTACGCTTAATACGATGTACATCAACCTAAATGCGTCTTAGTGATCGCACCGTACTATCCGATGTAACTGTAATTAGTCACACTGGAGCACAAAAACGTAGCCACACAAAAATCAGTATAAAAGGCAGTGTTTATCACAGTTCAGTTCATAAATCATTCTACTATAAACAGTAGAATACATATTACGAAAAAATTAAAAAAAAATTTCTCATCTTTTGATTTTTATTTATCCTTTTTTATTTTTTCAATAGAAAAAATTTCTACATTTAAATTTTTAACAATTTTTCTAGATATTAACTGTTTTGATATTTCTAGATATTTAGTTTTTATTTTCCGCAATTCTTTGAATTTAAAAGTTTTTTTTAACTGTAAATTTTGTTAATAATTTTTTCACTCTTTAAATTTTTGGTTTTTATTTTTTCTAAAAATTTTAATTCCATAGTTTTCAAGCTTTTATTTTTTGTGCTTAAAAAGCTTTGTTTTAACGCATAATAAAAATACAAATAAAGTAAAAACGTAATCTATTTCATTTCTTGTAACAACCGTATCGTAGCTGTGACTCATAATTGCGAAAAGCTGTGTCCGGATTACGTGTAACTACGACGATAAAATTTCAGTTAGGCGTAACTAAGTCGGAATTTTCCGCAATTACGGGTCACAGTGTGATTGCAGCTACGGCATAAGTACGCCGCAGTTTCATCGTAATGAAACATATGAGGCATTAATTAAGTCTTTACAATTTAACGTTAAAATATAAAAAATTAATGAAAAATACTAAAATGGCAAACTTCAAGTTAACCGAACACTTTAGACAATTTAATTTAATTTTCTCCTTATGTGCAAATGAGAGGTAGCCGAAGTTGTCAGTCCCTGAGTACACTGGTTCCTTCTCTGTTTTCTTACTTCTTGTTATAGGTGTCAATTTACAGTTTATTTTATTTAAATTTAACTCCGCAAAAAGTAAATTTCATTTAAAATAAATTAAAATTTTTCTCATACGAAAACTTAAATTTAAATTGAAGTTTTAGACTGAAAAATAATTTAAATTTTAAATTTAATAAACTGTTTGGATGAACACACATAATTGCTACGAGGAAAATGCGCGACTTTAACACTAGTAAATACTAAATGAGAGGAAAACATACTAGTTTGGGTTCATATTTGTTCATCATAGTCAAAATTTGTCCACAGATTATGCAGGATCCGTCATCTTTCTTTTTCAAAACACCGGGATACGCATAAAAATATATTTAATACCACAATTCTCAGAAGAATGACTTGCTTTAACCTTAGAAAACATGAAAAATACTCAAATTAGACTTGAAATAGTAGCAATCAAGTCAAAAACTACATTGATCTACTAGTTTTCAAAATTTAACTAATTTGATTTTCAAACAATTTAGTTCAAATTTAGTTAAAGTTAAATGATACAAAATTCTAAATTCAATTTTCCATTTAAAAACAATTTAGTTTATTTTAAATTTAAATTTTTGAAAATTTAAATGTGACACCCATACTTCTTGTGTTTTATTCTATCTACGTATCTTTCCATTCTCATTCTCTCCTCGGTCTTTTCTCTTATAACTAATTGCTTTTTTCTATAATTTAATTTCCCATCTTCTCCTCTTCCTTTTTTCCTTTTGCTTGTTTTCATCATTACAATTAAATGTATTTTTCATATGCATTTCGTTATATATTCATGATATTGACTGCATTCATTACATAGATAGCGTCTTTATGCATAAGTCATAAAGCAAAGTGCCATTCGTTACTTCATTTATAAGCGCTTCCAAGCATGACAAATATATGAGAAGAGCATAAAAATATATCCGTCGTCCTTCGATGAGTACTTCATATAGCAGACGAGAACATGATATAGATGTACGATATGATGTAGTAACTTTACACTAGTGCATTTCGATTGCATCGTGAGTCATTTCACTGATATATACCATGATTGCTATGTAAAACCGTTTAGCGTCATTCAAGTATGTGAACAAATAAGAAAAAGAAAAATAATATCTGAGCATCTTCTTTTGCGTTATGGTTTTTGCGGTTAGTTTGTTGAAGAAGACTAAATAAGCATTTCGTAATATTCCTATGACGGACCCAGGTAGTTCATTCCTACAACTGGATGCAATCGGATTTGAAAACGGGTTACCTCGGATCTTATATGAAAACTCACGAGGATCGACGGATTTCGGGTTTCGGACAGAGATTCGGATTCGTAGGATCGGAATTCGATACGCCAAAAAAGTCTGCTATAGTCAGTCAACCTCTAAGAAACGTTTTTTGCGCTCAATAGAATTTTGATAATTTTTAAAAATTCTTCCGTCGGATTAGTCGACCTGGGTAGTTTCAAATCAGCACTGTTACTTCAACAGATGGAAAAATGAAAACCAAGCAAATATTATTTTTACAATAGCGGGACAAGAAGCAGAACTAGCGCCAATGGGCATTCGAAATAATGTGGTGATTGTTCTGTTTAACGTTGTCTGATCTAGACTTTTTGCTATAAGAGTTTTCTGTTCGATCCAAGCTTGTTCACCAAAACAATATTCTAGAAATCTTCAAAGAGTCGATAAGAAAACTTTGTTTATAAGGGCTGAAATAAAAAGTATCACATGTAAATTTACGAAATAACTACTTTAAAGTATAATAAAGGTTTATGCAAATGAAAAACAAGTCAAGAAATCCCGCAGAAATAATAAAACATTTTCGAAGTACAGTGAGTTCTGAGACCACGAAAAGAGAAGCACCAAGTAATTAACTAATCGTACATTTGATCTGTTTTCATGTTGAAATGATATGAGGAGCTGAACACAAGATTTCGTGGATTGAGAAAATGTTACAATATATAATATAGTCAGAAGCATAATCATCTTTTCTTTAAAAAGAACCTAAAACTATTTGCCTCAGATCGCAAAAAGAGAAAATTCCGTCTCGAAATAGAATGGAATATGATTTTTACTGAATTTCACACAACTTTATTGAGAACTAGAAATATAAATAATTACCATAAGGAACTAAGTTGTTCTATCATAGTGATATTTTTATTAAGCTAATTTATTACTGAATAGAAACAATATCAAATGTTGGAAGCTACTAAAAATTTACCGCTGTTGTACAATGATTTCCTGATAGAAAAGCTCAACTGAAGCACAAACTATTCTGATAAAAAAATTATCAGAACCGGAATAAATGTCAATTGGCAGAAAAGAAGCGAGGACAAGTGAAAAAGTGGTAATCCTCTTTCAAACAACGGTATTGAGCAATTTATTCATTGCCAAGTATTTGCTTACGTTAAATTTTGATGCGCATTTTGTCTTATTGATAACATGCGTTACGAAAATGCTGCTTCATCTTTTAGCATAATGAAGAGACATTCTATTTCAAAAAGTTCAACACTATAATTGATTTTTTTTGACGAATATAAAAATTCTTCAGATTTTAGACTGATGAAAGGGTGCCTATACCTAGATTGTTGAATTTCATCAGTCGCGTTGTAATACAGTATGCCTTCATTGTCTGGAGAAACAATAATGAAGATCTGTTTCCAGCTTTATTTGCACAAATACCATTCGCCCTACCCTATTGCATTTGCTTCTATAATGCGATGATTTGGTAAAGAAAGGTAAGCAAACTTCATTCTTTGCGTACATACGCATATATTCCATACACTACAGAGTTTTTTCAATTAACTTTATGATTCATCGTGCATGACAAAAAGTGTCGGAAGTAGTCCTGTATCGATACTATTAAGGAAATAGTATCCAAATACATTTGACTGTAATTTTTGCTTAGTTATAATCAGTAAATAAATGCATATATATATATAGATGAAGAACATAACGAATTGAAGCAGTTAAAGAGAAAATTGCAACGCATCACACATTCGTCGTAACTCCGCTGACAGAAGACAGACTCCAGTGAATAATCATATAATGCTATCTCGACGAATGCTCGACGCTAATCCACACAGGTTTGCCTTGTTTCCTCTCTCTCCAACCTAAAATGTTTCACTTTTGTGATCGATTTTTTCTAGAACTCGAAACGGTTGGATACCGTTAGCCATTATTATTTTCATAATGATCGTGCTTTTGTTTGTGGCAATCTGTATTGTGCTCAGTTTGTTACCCACCTATTTGCCTGACAAAAACATCAGCGTCACAACTACTAACGGACAAAGTAAGTATCTTGCTACGTATGCTATATACACTGCTGACTAGACTTATAGGAACAGCTATTTGAGTGCAATTATTTGTTCGCTCTCGATCACTTTAGGCTTTCGTGAAATGAAAAGTCGTTTCGATTGTGTGCCTTCGAGTATACTCTATTAAAATATGGAATCAGATTTCCTAAACAGTATTGCCAAGTTGGAGATAACAAATGCTTATTAACCTTCGTTGCTTTTCGTCGATCCAAAATTATGAAACCATTATCATATATTCGTTATTTGTGGATAAGAGGGACGTTGCTTTTGGTTGAAAGTCGCATAAACAGATACAGAAGCTTCTTTTGTACGTTTTCATAAAAAACAAAGTTTGAAAAAGCATGAGGGGGTGATCAATTTACATGTATAAAAATTTATTAAATCCAAAAATAAATTTAAATTTATATAAATTTCGTTTAAATGCAAGTAAATACGCACAACAGAAGGTTCTGTATCTGTCCATGTAACTTTCAAGCAAAACTAACGTCTATTTGATCCACAAATAACGAACATACGCCAGTAGGTCTATAATTTTTGATAGGCGAAAAACAAGATATTTTAATATAAATTTGTTTTGTCGAACTTCGAAATAGCAGTGATGTAATTTAATTCCATATGTGAATAAAACATATTGGAATGCATATAGTCGCATCGACTTTTTTCTTCACGAGAGTTTACAGCGATTGAGTGTGGACAATCAATTTTATTCGAATAGGTGGTGCTATAGTTTTGGTCAACACTGTACTTAACTCATACTTGTTTCCAATATATAGGTACATTCTTAAATGCTCGTTATCTAACAAATGGGGATCTTACTGGCAAAACTGTTGCAAATAAAGTGAGCTTAGGCCAACAAGTAAGTACGCTTTTCAAGTGCTTTTGATTAACTCGTTCATGTATTCGTTTAGTTGAGCACACAGTTGGGCATTCCATCAAGTGCGCTAAGCGTGCAAAGCGCTCAATTTCAGAATACAGCGACGACCGGAAAACGCAAAAGACTATTTCTCAGGTCAGCATTGAATGTCATCCTTTCCATTCAAAAACTTTCACTTCCATTCTTATAGGATTCTATCAACTCTTCGTGAAAGTAGGCAAACTTCTATCAGCAGTATTCTTGTTATCATCGCAGAAATCAATTTCCCTTCAACGGTATGCAAAACCAAGTTTTGCCAAGACGATTATTCCAACAAAGTCAAATCACAGATGCAGACAGTTACAACTATTCCGATTTCGTTAACATTCACTGATGGCACTAACCTGGACATTAAAATAATTTTCCAGACTGTAGAGGACGTGTCTTCCGGTAAGTAACCTCTAAGCCACTTGCAAAACGTGCTCTACTAAAAACGAAAACACCAATAGACTGCACTTTCAGTTCAATAATAATAACACTTTTTCAATGTGAGTGTGGTTGTTTGCGAACAAGTTACCGGAATACCAACAACCGCCCGCACTCACACCCAAACCTACAGACAACACCGGCATCCTCAGCTCCAACGATTTCATCATTAGAGAGATAATCCGGGAATATTACAGATCGTCGTCTTCAGAGACTAAAGTTAACCCCATTCATATCCTATAGCGTCCATTTGCCAAAAGCCCACTCACGATATTACTAATCCAACTTTTGAAAATGACTATACTGAAAACCATCCTTGCGTTTCAAATATTTAAATCCAAGAATAAGTCTTATTCTCCCTAACTAGTGATAAAAGTCGCCCATTTTTTCCTTACACTCTCCTAAAATCGATGCAAACTATAGGTACAACAACAACTGTCACCGGCACAACAACAACTGCCACTGGTACAACAACCACTACAACCGATACAACCACTGCCACTGGTACAACAACAACTGTCACTGGCACAACAACAACTGCCACTGGTACAACGACCACTACAACCGATACAACCACTACCACTGGTACAACAACCACTATCTGATGCAACAACAAACACTGACGCTGCATCTAATGCGGAATAGAATAGCTACCCTGTAAAAAAAAGGTAGAATAATAAACTCTTAAAGGTTTATTATTCTACTTTTTCTGTGATAGTACGCCCAGGTCTATACGCAGTGTTGTAGCCTATACCGCGTTTTCTGTGGAAAGTTTCTGCTTTTCACTTTTTTTCCCGCTATTTCCCCGCTATTTTCCCGCTATTTTCTCGCTTTTCAGCTTTTTCGGTTTTTCGTAACTTATAAAACGTATTCGTATCCAACATACATAGAAAATAACACGTATTATTATTGAATTAATTGATAGTTTTTACAAATACCGTGAGTCTTCGTTGTCTTTTGCTTTTTGAAAGTTTGGCAAAATAAAAAGTTATGCATTAAATATGAAAAGATGCCTAGTATTCTGAGAAGTATTACAAATCTAAAGCAATATAAAGTTCCACTTTTTTCCGCTTTTTAGACTTCATCAGGTGGCAACCCTACCCGCAGGCCTAAAAATGTATTCATGCCAATAAATCACCTATCGGCTGTTAAACGGTATTCATCTTCATTTGAGGATAATCTTGTTCGACAGTTGCAGAGTAAAAAATAAATATTTAAAAGGCTACTGATTCACGGGTATTAATAATTTATTGAATGTTTTAGATTTATGTTTTGACGATCTGTCTGATCGGACACTAAATAACAATAAAACAAAGATGAATGCTCGTTAATATAAATTAACCAATCATTTATTGAACAGTGTTGAACCATCAGTAATTAATTTATGAGCACCAGTACCTAGAACAGAGAAAAAGATGTATGTAGATTCATACAAGTAAATTTAGTATTCACCTCATCTAAAGACTAACCTATGCAAGTATATATTGTGAATCATCAACCACATAAAAAGCCATTTAATAGATTGTCAAATAATTTGCCCAAGAAAACAATAATTTGTTCCAAACCATCTAAATAATGCATTGACCATGTTCCAAAGCAACGATTAAATAATCGAAATAATATAATTGTAAAATGATATAAATGAAGAAATTGTTTATAGAGCATAATACTAATTCAGCTATTGTAGAATTTTGACGATCAATAACGAGAACAGAGAAAAAGATTCATATAGATTCATATAAATAAATTGAATATTTACCTCACCTAAAGACGAATATACTCAAATATATGTTGTTGATTTCCAATTGAATAAACAGCCATTTAACATATTGTTAAATAATATGCACCAACAAATGGTTTGTTGATAAACATCTGTAGTCATGCATAGGCCATTTTTCACAGCAGCCACATAAGCAATCGAAATAAGATAACTTTTATCATAAAGAAAATTCTTCGCTCAATATAAAAATATTTCGCTTAATTACACCAGATCGGAAGAGTATTATCATTATTAATGAAATAAAATAAAAAGAAAGATTGGGCTTACTCTCTAATATACCTTTTAATCAAACAACATTTATATCGATTCAATAAAAACCTCATTACAATAGACTTGCTTAATTAAAGACACTTATGAGTTTCAGAGAAAAGATGTGAACTAGTTTTGGTAAACATATTCGATTGAAAAACATTTAAGCTCGATCAATGTTCGCTGAATTAATGTAAACAGGAAAATAGAACGTTTCTTGCTTGAAATAGGAACAGCATTACAATATTTGAATGGTATTGAAAATTACATGAGAATAAAGAAAGACAAGAACTATAAACGGAATATATGATTTCTACAGTATGCTTGTTCAAATACGATAATGATCGTTCAGACTGAAAGATGAAACAGAAACTCAGAAATAAGTCATACGTAAACAGCTACTTCTTGCTTGTTGCTGAAACTCATTCCGCTAAGATATCTGTAGATCATTCTGGTTGGTTCAATAAAACAACATACTAAATCTATCTAATGTTTTATTTTAGTGTGAGAATCATTTTTTTTCAATAAATGGAAGCAAAAATGAAAATTTTCACATTTTGCTATATTGTTTTACATAAGAATATTTGAACAGTTGATACAAGTATCATTATTTTTTTATATAGATTTGGCTATTATTAATTCGTTGTCTTATTTTTTACACAGATCTAATCCATAGTGTCTTGCCTTCATCTTCATCACATAAGTACAAACTATCTCGTACCCAAACAACAACAATAATAAATCCTTCTTTTGAAACCGTAGAATAAAATACCCTTTCATGAACAATAATAAACCTTTTTGCGAACAATCATAAACACTTGGGTTTATAAACCCTTTACGGATTTGGAAATGACCGTCTTGGAGACCTATCGGATATTCAACGAAAGATTTCCTGGAGTTACCACAAGATCAACTTTTACTGCTCTTCGATCACGGGAAGTAAAAATTACGACGACACATGACACATGCCTATGTATTATTCATGAAAACATGAATCTGTTACTGAGAGTTTGTGTTGATTGTATATTGATTCGATTGTATCTTATTTTCATCATAGGTGTGGAACAACTACTATCAGAAATATATGGATGTAAATTATTATCAGCTAGTGAGAAGATCAATATGAAAGACCTGATTACTCGAATAGTTTGCACTATCCAGAAAGAAGACTGCTTCAATGAACAATGCGACCACTGTCCGATAGAAAATATCACGCATATTCTTACCCATAACAATGTTATGGATCTAGATGACGAATGCTCACGGACACTATAAAAAAAAGTCAATAACAAATTTGATCTTCAACAGATGATCGGCTCAGTTGGCTCTCTGCTCACAGAGATTAAAAGAAGATGGTCCACATTTTTACTTTACACGTATTGTAATCGTCAACAACATGAACATATCAAAGATTTACGTAGTCAATCAACAGACAAGTCGTTAGTTGTAGCGCAAATTGACTTCTCAATGAATTGCACATTGATACGCCAGCGTGAAGTTCAACAAGGTTTTTTCAGTTACCATCAAGTCACATTGTTTACAATTCATTTGACTATTGGAAAAGAACAAAGAACTTTAGCAATTATCAGTAGGGGTGGACCATTTTTTTTAACGGAAATTAATTAATGACTTCCATTAGTCATTAATCTTAATGGTTAATGTTTTCTGAGAAAAACTTAATTCATTAATATTAATGATTAATGAAAAACATTAACATTAATTTTAAAATTAATGTTTTCATTAATTATTAATATTAATGTCAATGTTCTTGAANAGATGAAAAGTTGTGTGACTCATACAGATTTAGATTTTAAATTCAATTCAATTTGTAGTGTCTTACTTTACTATATATATGCTAGTGCCTGACTATTCTACATGACATGCAAGTTTTATCGATAGATTATTCCACTTTCAGATTGTGCCATATAGATAGGGAGCATAGGATCTTAAGTGAGATGCCAATTAGAAGTGTATAAAATTAATGTTTTCATGAAAACATTAATTTTCCATATTACTGAATTAGGTTTTGTAAGGAAACATTATCTATAATTATTAATCAATTAACTGGTCTTAATAGCTAATGTTTTCTCGGAAAGTGTTAATTACTTAATATGGAAAGTTATACTGCTTTCATGAAAACATTAACCATTAATATTAAGTCATTGATTTTAATGAAAACATTAACATTAATATTAATGATTAATGAAAATATAATCGCTAATATCAACAAAAACATTACTATTCATACTAATGGTGAATGTTTCCGTTAACCGTTAATATCATTCAAGAACATTAACATTAATATTAAATTAATGTTAATGGCCCACCCGTAATTATCAGTGATTACATGGAACACACAGCAGCATTTGTTTACTGCGCACAAAGACTTCTCGTCGAATTCACCAAGAAGAACTTTCCACTGGTAAGAAAGATCAATTATCTCAGGTAAGTTTTACTCGTGTTAGATACAGAAGACTTTTAAAAGTCCATGCGCTATGTCAACTCTCTTCTCTCTTTTAGTGATGGTGCAAGTGCGCATTTTAAAAATAATTCCAGCATTCTGAACCTAATCATCACAAGGCTGACTTCAATTTGAAGGCATCTTGGACATTCACAGCTACAGGTCATGGTAAAAGAGCTGATGATGGCATTGATGCCATTATGAAGACCATAGCTACATGTGCCACCCTTTCAAAGAATATTCTCCTATCAACGGCGAAAGACTTCCATGAATTCTCTAAAGCACAACAGCTCGAAACCGTAAGAAAATCTAACAACGATAGTCCTGATGTTCACATCTTCGATCGTGAAGTACAGGAGGCGAAAAAGGTGACGAACAACTTTTTAAAAGCTACAAGCGAAAAACTTCGAAAATCAGGTGAGACAAACCTTTTTCTTAATATTTAATGACAATGTCGGTTTAGGTACAATACGAGGGGTCCAAGTGATGCATGAATTCAAACCAATAAGTCATACAACGGTTCAGTATCGTCAAACATCTCGATCAACGCACATCAGGACATTTACATTTAGATAAATTTCTTTTTTTATGTCGATTTCAATGTATCAGATTTTGTGGAATGAAATTTATCAGTGATATTCAGCACTTCAACACATCGGAAAATTCTCTTAGTTTCCTACTATGCCAGATTCTTTTAGTCTCAAGCTGATGGTTTAGGGTAAATTCGATGTCATCAAGCACATGAGGTCATCTATTGTAACAGCGACATATCGTCCTGAACATCATTATCTTTATCACTAGTCTAATGAAAATCCTTCAAATAAATTAGTGTCACTCAACATGACAAACGACAGTTATCGCTATTTTCAGAAGAAATGACTCAGAACTCAAGGCTTTCAATAGGAATGGTCTAATTTTTTTTCCATCTAAAGTGTTTTCTACAGCATACCAGAAGTTTCGACTGAAAAGAAAATCGAAAACAAAAACCTTTCCAGAAAAGTGGATGGGTCTCCATGGATTCACCCGTTAATATTTACATCGAGATAAAATCTAATGGGTGTTAAGTGAGAACTACTTTTCTTACAATTTTCTACATTGAAACATCGAGAACGTAGGGAGGGACTATGTCTAAATTCCAAATGGATATATTACACATAACTGACCTAAGCAAATTCCAGATAATATTGTAAAATAAGGATAAATATTCAAGCATTGAATCAAAACATTTATATTTCACTGGAAGAAAAAATTATTTAAATTAGATAGTAATTAGTGTAGATTCGTTAAACATCATCGAATAAAACAGTTGATTTTTTCGTGGAAAAAGAAACAATTTCCATTTAATTTTCGTAATCAGATCGATGAAAAAAGAGATAATCTATTGTAGTACATATAAAAAGTCAGTATTATACAAGAAATGAAAGTGATATTGAAAACAAGATCAAAATGTAGTGCATGCTGTTCTAATGAAACTAGAACAAATCGTTAAAAAAAGGTGTTAGCGCAATCTCTGTGAGATTAAAATATGAAACGCAATGGAACTCCTTTGCTGGAGCCTGCCTACCATGGTCTGTAAGTCTTTGTAGTTTTTCTGCCGCTGCTTATAATCATATATGCAGCCTTTCGGTCACGGTCTGTATTTTGATCGATGGAGTCGGTAGAGACCATCGCAGACTGTGGCATAGAATTTACAAACCATCACACACAGTTACAGAAAATCCAGAGATCATCACAGATCGTGTTTCACAAAAATAATATGGAATTAATAAAATCAATTCTTAGCAACGACTTATTTTTATGATTAAAAATAAATCGTCGTATCTGTTTCTTCATACATACGCCGACAACGACAGTCAATGGCAGAAAGATGATACTATTGAATATGTTTTTGCAAGTATTTTCTAGCTTTTAATCTAATTAGACAGTATCCGAAATATTTTCAAATAATTTTTGTTGCATACAAACTTAAAATAGTCTCTAGTTTAATGATAAAATAAGAAATAAGATCACAAGTCTTTATTATTCATGATCTTTTTCATTTATTGTTGATTTTGGTTGTTGAATCGATCGTGTAGATTGTATATCATCAACGAATGTTAAATCATATTTCAAACCAAGTATATCAAATAAATGCATAATAAAATTATAAATATTTTGTATAAGCCGCCAATGAATATTTTCACTTGTTGTATTCATATAATTGTTTGTTGTCGATAATAATTCTGGTATCTGTTCAATAACAGATGGTGTATCTATCAGAGGTTTCTACAGGGTCAATTTTATTGCCCTGCCCTGCCCTGTCCTGCAAATTAAGAAGAATTGTTTTCAGGTTAAATTAAAGTTTAAGTAATTTTTTTAATTTGAAAAATAATTCAACAAATAAATGAATGATTAGCAAATAATAAATTAGCCCTAATTGAAGAGGTGTATATGATGAACTTACGCCACCACTGGTGGTCCACAATAGATAATAAACTTCATTGTCATAATCAGAAGTGACAGATGATCTATCAGCACGTGAATCTATCGACGATGTAAGTTATGCATAGTTTTTTTTTCATAATAAGAAGATGAGCAACTATTACAATTATAAATATATGTGCACTATTATGATTCCTTTATTCTTTTCTTTTCTTTTCTTTTCTTACCACTTTGATTGAACCTTACGGTCATCATGCAAACACAAATATAATATGACAATCTATTTACTATTTAATAACGTCATCTGAATTTTTAGTTTCTTTCACGTTTTCGCGCAAAAATAAAATTTATGTTATTTTTGAACTAAAATAAGTATATGCAAAATTTGCAGGGCATGAAGGTGTAGCCCTACCCTGCCGTGTGGACACCTCTGGTATATAAAAAAAGAAACAGTACTTTTGTACGAAATTCATTAATATAGTCGTTTGTTTTTATTGAATCGATATAATGTCAAGCCGCTGACGATACCAATCTCGCTCAAAATTGAGGGCGTGACTTTCACACAAGTCTGCAAATTTTTTGTACATGTGTTCGATATTAAATTTCAAAGATGATTGTAATTTACGTAAACAAACTGGACAAACAAAAAGTGTTTGTTGATCCATTTCGATTTCATTATTTGCACCATTCATAAGGCATAGATAATAAATACAATGTTTTAGACCAAAAAGATGACAGATTTCATGAAGAAGAATTTTGATACAGCGTCGAAGGATTATGATACGATCCACATCAGTGAGCTCTCTATTCATTGATTTGTATGGTGGCATAGGAAATAAAGGATCAAGACGAGAAAACGAATAGACACCAGTACTATCCGTGGCACGGGCTCGTCCATAGACAAAATTGTATGTTTCATCAGGATAAATGTCTGCCATGGTCACTGCAACACATAATATTTCTTTTTCTGTATCACGTTGGTTACGTGCACGAACCAGATATTCAAGCAGACCACTTGTCTGATATTGAATCTGTTTCGTTTGGCTATTAATTCGATTTTTCATGGATTCGTTAAAATCAACCATCGGCAAAATTGTGACATCACAACCAAGAAAGAATGCTTGAGCAAATTGACCAATCAGTTCAAGAGATGGAGCTCTACGTGCATACATGATGATATCCTGTTAGAAACTGTTGGATATATATTAATTAATTCCTACCTCGGATGATCAAAGCTACCGATTGGTTGAATGTAGATGGTTTTGAATCTGTATAATGAATAGAATATGAAAAGCGCAATCATATATCTTCTACATGCTGGTGTCAAAAAGTTTTAAGACTGAGGATTTTTGTGATAACTGACAAATAATAGTAGTTGGAAATAATCAATCTTTTGGAGATTTTGCAACTGCTGTAATAACTACAAACAACCTGATCAATGGTTAAACATCACTTTTTATTTTTATTTAAAAGATACTAGCCGATAGAGAAAATTGGTCTCTTTCAATTTTCATAAGGCTAAACTTGCTAGATTATTCTATCAGAAATTATGAGCAGTTTACATTGAAATTCAATTAGCATTTTGAACAAAAACTACTATAGTAGTGTAAATTAAATGCTAAGTTTTTCTGCATCATTTCCACAAAATCTCATCATAAAATGAAATCTTTTTTTAAATATTTACAGAATTTGAAACACTTTTCGTTGTATACTTGTAACCATTGACTATAGGTTTAACTCCCTTGCGAATAAAGGACGGGTAAAAAGACGAGCAGCTTCTTTAGTACTAGTTTTGACTACATAAGTGATTTGTATCATTATATGTGCTACGACTAGTCTTTCTTGGAAAAAAGGATTAGTCATACTATGCCATCCACACATTGATCTAAAATAAAATTGAAATTGAAAAAGAAACAACGTCTGCGATGCTGTAGCTAACAGATGGTACTATATAGGAGCTTAATGCAGACTAGTCTAAATAGCTGAAATATAAAACGAAAGGCTAGATTCGAGCATGCATACAACTTATAACTTATAACTTACCCATCGTTTAATCCGCTGAAACATATATGATCAAGGGAGCAACTCCTATATGCCAATACACACTTTAAGATACTATTTAACAGTTTTGCTAAAATCTTTCAAGCTCTGATATGAATAAAACATAATTACCATAAAATTCCTAATTATTCAAATAAAACTAATCGTAAGAAAAAAAGCGTTTTTTTCATTTAATAAATTACGTGTATTTTAATGTCAATTTTTTAAATTTCAACTAGAAAAAAAACTAAAATTCTGTCATTTAAATCCATTTTCAAATACAAGTTATCAAAATTTATATCTATAATAAAAATATAATGCTGATGTAAGATAGTAAAATTCTTGCTAATTTTGTTTCTATGAGCTGATGATAATTGCTAATTTACTTATAATCAAATCTCATAAGAAACGATGCGATTATTTAAAAATATCTTACACAACATTACACACTCTTCTAGTTCCAATCGAAACAGTCTAAACAAGCTGTTTGGAAAATGAAGTTGAAGCAAAAGAAACATATGAGAACCTTAGACTACCCTATATAAGCGTTACGAGGATCGTACATCACTGTTTACGTCGTATTACTTGAAATATGAACTACGACTGTGTTTTAATCTGATGCAATCGTAAATAACCGCACACGACTGTTGTAAACGACTGTATTCGGCGATATACGATCATATAACATTGTCGTAAATGGTAGTCGTTTATGATTGCTGTTATTCGAGATTATTAACGACCGTATACTGTGGTTTATGATCATGACGTTTCCACCTGGGTAGCCTTAATCAGGCTTGACAATACTTTCTCAAAAACGAGCTAGTCTTCAACAATTTGAATGAGGTTCTGTATTAATATATATGATGGTATTGAAAACAGTGCAGACTAGTCAGGCGTTTAATATTATCGAATTTAATGTTCGAATCCATCTATTGTCATCTATTTTTTTCAGATTATTTATTTCTGACGAGACTGGATAGCATGAATAGAAAAACGAACTAGCCATGACAGGTTGTAAACGCATTCTAGACCAGTCTATATTTAGTTGCACGGTATACTCTGTCAAGACAACCAGTCCTGATGAATTGCAAGTTCTTTTTACGACTAGACTAGATCGTAGTGCGGGCATTCGAGGCTAGTCATTTTTTGCTCGCCTGGGTTGCCAGAACTCACATAAGATTTCTCAAGGCTGGATTATGCTTTGTGCAAATAAAAATTCCAAAACAATTATGTTTTCGACTGCTTATGCCACAGTCATTACAATAATATCCAATAGTTTCTTCTCGTCAGATTAAATAACACTCACGTTGAATGAGGAATTGCTTTGGTAGACATCTGTTCGAATGAATCAAATGTTTGACCACATTCTTGACGTTGATTTAACCATCCCCAATAGCCAGGCTTTGGTATTGATTGGAAACTCTCGCTGATTTGAATCGTTAACGCTTTTTGAATATCTTCCGATAGCTAAAGAGAATAACCCATGGTATGAACACATGCAACATTAAAAATACTATAAATAGAATGAGCTAACATTTATAACATCACCAAGCGCTTCGGCGATTTGTTTTTCACTTGGAGGTACAAACGGCATGTTTTGATTACAACTGCAAGAAGTAACTTATTTTTTGTTCTTTCTACTCAAAGCGTGTATCATACTTTCGCAATATTTACTATGATATACTTAACTATAAGATGATTCATTGTTGAAGAATATTATAGTCATAAAAAATTCTCAAGATAGAGAACAATCTCGGTGGAATTTAAATGTGAAACACGATGAAACTCTTGTTCTGGAACCCGTTTACGACGGTCTGTGGAGCTCCTCTGCCACGGTCTGGAGGGAGGGGATATGTCCAAATTTCTACCCTATATGCTTCAACAGTCCTTTCATATCGTGTTTCACAAAAAACCGCTTAACACGTTCCCGGTCCTTCTTTTTTATATAATAAAGAACTAAATAACAAGGGCAATTGTTTTTTAATTCTCCTATCTTTTATAGCAAATGTCTTATACAATCTACTTCTTCCCGTTAAGTTACGAAAGACAAAAGACATCATGAGCTACATAACAGTACGTATAAATAAATTTTTTATTCTGGTAACAAAAGAAAATTATTTTCTGTTGCAAAAAAATAAATAAAAAAGCTTCATTCAGTATATCTAGATGACCGATCAGTAATGTCATATAATGATGCTTCATTTGATGATGGATATGACATTGTTGCCGTTTAATGATAATATATTTCAACAAATGATGCAACTATTGATACAATTGTCAAATATCGAGTGTTTTTTAGCGTTGTTGAATTACTTCAAGTTCATCAGTACCATTAAACAAATACGAACGAAATAATATTAACATTGAAATGCAAACCAATAAATCAAATAAATGTCAAAGTTCCTGATTGTGTTTTAAATATTTCTTTTAAATTAATAATATTTTGTTGTTCAGTTCGTCTTAATTGAATGTCATGTAGTAAACGTTCTGCAGCTAATGAATTTTCTTCAAGAGAATAATTAAATGAAACTTGAAATCATATTAATGTATCCTCTTTTTCAGTTAATATACGAACAAAATATAAAAATAGCTAATCTAATCAGCAAAATATCAATTTATAATAAAAGATAAATAAATAACATACTATGATTACATTTTCATAGATCAATATTAAGTGATATATTATGATCATACAATCATTTATCAACAAGTTCTGACAATTTTTTTTTAAAAATACAATATCTTTCTTTATAGAAATATTAACTTAATTGAGTCATATAATAAGACAAGCAGAAATAAACTTCATAATCACTAGACGAAAATACTTATAGATAATAATAGAGTATTTTTCTTCAATGTGAATCAATAGAGAGACCATAGAACTGGAAATAAGATACAAAATAAGTACTTGATACACTTGGCATTCATATGATAATGCACTAAGATTCATGATGACCATGTAATCATCGAAAATGAATAATGAAGTTGTCGGAAAATTTAATATGTTATAGAAAAAATTCCGACGGGTTTGAGAATAATTTGACGTTCGAATAATGCATACGTAACCAGATCAATATAAGAAAAATATCCAAGAATAAAAAAGACCAAATCTATTAATATTTAATAAAAGTAAACCATTATCAGTTAATACTTGATTGCCAAACATTTAATTGTCTTTTATCAACAATAAACTTTAATGCTAAATGTGATATCGATGATGACGATGAAATATGTGACCAACGATATTATTATGATAAGATAGAAACTAAACTTTGACAACGTACAAGATTTTTCTTGTAATACGAGTGTCTCAACATTGATAACGACTATGTACATATATACGTATATATATATATCATCTGAAAAGCGTACCAACAAAATCTAAATGTATTACCAAATGAAAACTACATGCAATACAAGTTATAGAAGAAATCATCATGTTTTTTTCTCTTGTTTTTGCTTTTTTTTTGTTTTTACTTTGTCATTTGATGACATATATAATATACTAATATCGATCGCTACTGGTAAAATACCACCAGCAATTGCAATATCTTCAGGCCAAGCTAAACCTAAACCTTCGGTTAGAAACAATCAAGTAAATTGTTGACAATTCATACTACTGCTCCAGATCGGTTGATACTGTGATGCCATATGAAAATATGTGTAAGATCCCTAAAAACCGAAATATATGACAAAAAGAGATAATAATAAAAATGTTACCAGACTATGTAAGAAAGTTTGTTTCAGAATTATTGGCGTCATTGGATTGGCGATAAATTCATGAATATTAGCTGGAATCTAAAAGAATAATGCAGATGACGCAAAACTAGATGATAGTTTGCTTACAGCTGGAGATACTAGATAACATGGTAGTTGAATATTATTATTACCGCCCAAGTATTTGCTTTCATGAAGTTCGCTTACATATTTGAATACTACTTCGGACTTGGTTTTCGTCCATGGACGAAAGTCAAAATCAGTTGAATGTGGAACTTGTTTATCATGAGTATTAGCAATTGCATGAATCAGTATACCAGCAATTTCAGTATCAGTTGACATACCAGCCAAGTCGATTAATATGCCCATGTGAGCATTTTTTGCGTCAGTAGGATCAAAGATAATAATATAGCATTTGTTAGCTAAATCATAATTAATTGGTATAAATGGAATATGTGGAGCCATCGAATCGAGTAGATCAAGACCAGTAATTCCCATATATAATAATAAAATGTTTCTATTAAATTAAAATCTAAAACAAGAAAGAAAATAGAATGAGCTTTTCTTCATATAATTATGTCAAGATCAAATGAAAGATCTTCAAAATTCATTTGAGATAGAGAAATTCTATGGATATTAATGCATGTAACATTTGTTAAGGATACTAAAAATTTATCATTTTATTTTATTTTCAGTCAACAACAACAACACAGCTTGACGAATAGATTTTTTATCTCTGAAATGTAAGTTCAACCAATAATTTCTATTTATTTTGTTTTTCTATAACAGATATATTTACTGATTGTTCACGATGATGAACATTTTACTAATATTGAGTTGGCGTATTGACAGTTAAACAAATCCATCTCTTTTCTTTTTCTACAGATACAGATATAAATTCAGTCCATCGCCTAAAAACAAGCATTCAACAATAAATAATTATCTATCGTTTTATCCAATTATTTCTTCGAGTTAGAAAAAAAATTCTTTTAAAAACTAATAAAAACATTATTTTATCAAAATTTTATTTAATGGGCAGACACTTTATTATTTCATTAGTGAATTTGATTGACTAATCAAAATTGAAACGATATATGATAATGATGATCAATATTATACAAAAAACTTTCACAATGATTGGTTGAAATCTTTGATTTGGGTATGGGTGTGGGAATAGACCCGAGAACAGACTTAGAGTAAAAGCAACACTCAGACTGAAACTCACACCTCGGCCCTCGAGCTATGAACACTCTTAAAAGTTAGTGCTCTTAACTTATTTCTGCGTTTATATTACATTTTTACGATATTTGTTGCAGTGCATGTCGTATCCCTCTCAAAAATGAAAATAAACCACTTTCGAATTTTGACTTGAAACCATGTATAAATATAAGTGTTGATAAGAATTCTTTTAAATGCTTAAGATTTTGTCATTGTTTCTATCTCAAGATACAACTATGACAATAGTGTATCCGTTGCATTGTTCATACAAGCTGATAGATTTTGTGATCGTATTTCAAGATTCAAGAAAATGAAAATACCTAAAATTATCTCCAGAAAATATTTTTGTTAAACTTGCCGTTGTAGAAAGTCTTAAATCGATATTTGAGAATCAATCTTTCTGATGATTCTAAGAAAAAAAACCGCATGCATTGCGAAAATACCGTAATATCTAGTAACGATGCAGCAGAGATGTCCACAAGGTGAATTGTTCGAATTCTGTCCTGTTGAATCCATTGGGTAGAGCAGACAGAGTATCCTGCTATACTGAAAAATCATCTTAGTTGTAATTTCAAATCAAGTTCAACGAAAGAAGCATTTCCTCAATCTATGATACATCATTGTTTTAGCATATAGTTGTGGATGGAGAGAAGTTCCAGACCGATAACAACTCAGATCCATCCTCAAGTATCCTTGACCACCAACCATTCGGTTCCCGCGCCTACTATACATAACTAAGATTCATAATCTTTACTATAGAATTTACCCATAAAAAATTATTTAGAAAAAACGAAAAACAAAAAGCAAGACACCTCTCATGAATATGATAATATTCACCAAAACCGAGCATAATTTATTTTCTTATAAAAATATGTTTTCATTGATTTTATTCTTGAATTGTTTTCTATCTTATCTGATTGAAGACCCGTCCCTCTTTAAAATAATATCCAACCAGTAATAGAAAATTCTCTTGGTATGTCAGTTGTTGTTACAGAATTCAATGAGATAGATTGAGCTTTCTTTGGAACTAGAAATTGACACTTATTTTGATAGCTTTTCGAAATTAATAAAGGTTCTATTGTTTGTTTCTATTTTTATCGAATTTGAACAATAAATATCGATTGACTTGTTTGTCTTCCCCCAGATAATATCCGTCCTCTTCCAGTTCATCGGGTTCACTTAACTTTTGACGCTTAAATTTTCAATGTCAAATTACACAAAAATGTTGCTTTCGTTATTAATTTTTCTTTCATTGCCTCAATGCTTTTTTTCAAGGATCCTAAGAACTCATTTTACATTCTGCCTAGCTTTAAGACTTAACAACTAGTTCGCAATCGGTTGGGTTTTTTCTTTGTTATCGTTATCGATTTGAACCAGTTAATGGTGATCACATTGACCGTTCGCAGTTACCACTTATAACTCTAATACCGTATTCTGCTGCTGCCTTTTGATCTTTGACTCTTGAAGACGGAGTTAACATTTTCTTTCAGGATGAACATTCGAAAATTGGATACTACAGTGTACAGTGCGGTCTGAGATATAAAGAACTAACCCTATCGTATGACCGTGTCTACTAAACTGAAAAAAAAAGTTATCAAATAAAATCTTCGAAATTTTGTGGAACTTTACTATACCATTTAGCTTTCCGTGAAATAATACGAAATCTGTACAAGGTGCAGCAAAATTTAAGGTTTTGTAATATACTTTTAAGAGTTTCGAAATTTAAAAAGGTTTCCTTGTGAATTACTTCGAATTTGTGATTTCCAATAGGTTTCGTCAGAAACCTTATTGAGTTTCGCATTCAAAAAGGTTTGGTAAAATAGCTAGTGAAGAGAATGTATTCATGGCATATCATGATAAAACAAAAGTGATCTCTCTCCACATCGCATACAACAGAACAACTACATGACTTATGATATAATTAACTGGTGTTTTCATAATTTTATTCAATCATTTTTCATCAAATATCATCAACAGACGTTTGAAGCCATATTGGAAAACTATTTATTTCATTCATCGCTAATTGTTTTCTCTCATCAGATTCCTGCGGTTATGATAACGAACATGCAACATATTTAATGGATATCTTTTATCGAAGTATGATTACCCACAATGCTATATTTTTTTGTTTTAGATTGAACTAATTATTTTAGATTAGATCTTCGCTCCAGTAGTTACTATATTTCAATTATTGCCCCAAAAATAATTGCTGAATCTATAACAACAACTATTAGATGTGCGTATCTTATTGCATTTTTTTTCTTCACATCATATTCATTTCTTTATTTAGCGTTGATTCAAGTTTTGAAGTTTAGCTATAGAAACTGCACGTACATTATATCACAATTGAAATATACTTTTTCACATAAAAGACTAGTTATCATAAGTATTAATAAATTCATTTTTCTTCTATTTAGATTTTTGGGAGAATTGTACTGTTGGGAAGTTATTATAAGAAACGATCAATTCGTCCGTATTTTATTTTGGTTCCTTCAGAACTCGATTATCGGTAATTTATGATGAGAAATAAAAATTTATTTTGTTTCTATTAAGGCTTGTCTTGAATTACATTATTAGTAAGTAATGATTAGAAACGATAAATTAGTTTTCTCTATTTAGACTCTTCAAACAATTCTATCATTGGTAAGGTATCATTAGAATTACCTAATTCGTTTATTTTCTATTTAAGTTTTAGCAAGAATTCTATAAGGGGTAAGTTACCATCGAAATTAGCACGTGTTTCTTTTCTATTTAGATTCTTGACAGCAGTGGTGTTATTTTCATTAACGGATAAAAAGAATCAAGCATTTTTTCCCTACCCAGGACGATGATTCCGGGGTCCGGATCCTGTAGGAAACAAAAGGAAACGGCCTTTTTTCCGGCTAGTTCCACTAAAATGCAAAGGGTTTCCCTCCAGAACCGCCCGGAAAGCACCCGGCAAATGGAAGCAGGATTCTGGACCGGAAATCACCGTACCGGATCCATCACTTTCCAACAAAATCCACTTGACCGGATCCACCCGGAAACTACCATATCCGCGACGGACTATTTAACGAAACTTTCTGTATCCGGTCTGACACCGTCAAGAATTACAGCATACCTACGCGGCATCACACCCAGAAGGAAGATTACCGTGACCGTAAGCGGTCGTTAACACTGTATTCACTGCCCCGGGTCGATCAATCCCATAATAGGACCTGATTGGAAGCAGAGTTGGCACCCCAGGATCGAAATCCAATGCAATCTTACAGGAGAAAACCGACTGATAACAACCATAATTGAACTGTCGGATGCCAGGGCGCAATCGATGATGCCGGATTTGCATTTGTCGACCTCAACAACCTATTACAAAGTGTCATCAGAATTTAGCTGGGAGTTGAAATAACAAATCTAACTTTTCAAATTTTGAATTTCTGTTTGCGGCAGTTTCTGATCAGCTCGATATGCTCGTAGGGATATGACGTAGGGAGTGACTGGTGTGATTTGGTTAAAGGTCAATAACATTAGAGTGTGGCGCAACTATTTGCTGGTATCGGTATGTGTCCGAAATATTTGAGGTGGGAGATGGGCTTGGAATATGATTGAGGAAGCGGTTTGGATACCGATACGGTTGACATAGATGTCTTTCCGGCTTTGGAATTCTCGGGAAATATGTTGGAAACGTTGGAGATACTCGTACGGAAAGCGGCGTAAAAATTCCGTCGAAGATCCACTCGTTTCCAACTGTTTCCGTTCCTACGACGTGTATGTGAATCACAAAAGGAACCGCCCGGATTTTTTCCTGGATTTTTCCCGGCGTTTCCGTTGGGATATGAGCGGAACGATGGTGGGAAAATCCGGGAAAATCCGTTCCGGAATACTGCTTCCGTGAAATCGTGGAAAGACATCGGAACCTGGCGTTTCCGGCTCAGACTGCTCGACCTGGGTATAAAGCTCAGACAATACAATAATATTCCTTGTGTGTGCTGTTCTAAAAGGAATTATCTATGTTGAGGGTGTGTGAGTATGGTCTTCTACGTTATCCCACACACCCGCACCCTCAAGATTGATTAGAGTTGGACTTTTAAAAATTTAATTGCTAATTAAAACATAAACAAATAGATTATTATACTGCGTGACAAGTAAGCAAATTATCATTACACTTCATCTGAATATTCGATTTGAGGGTGAAGCCCGTCTGCTCCAACAATGTAACATATTCCTGCTCACTTCGATATCGACCACCTAGAAGAACAAGCATGTTTAAATCATTTAAACGACCATCAAGTTGATTAGTATTGTCACGGAGAACAACTTCAATGATAAGAAGTTTGTCTCCGGAAGCCATTGCTGCACGACAATTACTCAATAATAGTTTCGTTTTTGAGTCATCAAAATTCATGAGCATGTGCGATAAAATGACAGTATCTGCACTGGTTGGTACTGACACAAATAGATCACCGCTGATAATACTGAGCCGCTCGGATATATCAGATTGTCCTACAGCGAATAGTTTACGGGCATCTTCGGTAACATGTGGAAGATCATAAAGAATGCCAATTAGATGCCAATACCGACGCAGTATATACATCATGAGAACTCCTTTTCCACCGCCTACATCAAGAACACATTTGGCATCGGAAAAATCATATATAGTAATTAGTTCAGCATGTCTGTCCATCGAGCCCATTGCTCGATTAAAAATACCATTGAACTCAGTATTATTATGTAAATAGCTGTAGAAATCTATTCCGAATATATTGTTGAATGTTGGATATCCTGTGCGAATACTTTCAAGTATGTTCGTCCATGCACCATACATGGCGGGATGGCACCATGCGATTGCCATATCATGAAGAGAATTGAAAACATCACTGCGCAGTGTCGAACCGAGTGAAGTCAATGAAAACATGCCTGATTCATCTTCAATGACAACATCAAAACTAGCTAGCGTATGAAGGAGACGGTTGAGTGAGTTAGCGTCCGTATTTGTAGCTTGTGCGAGATCAATTGACGAACGAGGTTGATCGGTCAACAGATCAGCAATCCCCAATTGAGCCATCACACAAACTACCTGTGACAATTGATAACCACGAATAATATTGGACATGGTCTTATGATCAGTTTCGCTTTTTGTGTCCTGTTGAGTTGATTTGTGACCTAAACAATATTCAATAATCTTTTTAAGATAAACAGAAAAAAAATTCAATATTGAGTAATTTAATTTGGTGTACAATGAATTGTTATTCAATATTATACATACTCGACAATAATTGATCGGTCATTTTTTTACTGCTTGCTTCTTTTATGCTATATATCTATAATTCTATATAAAAGTGTAATAACAAGCTGGAAGAGTGTAAATATCAATATTTCACTATATATTTCACGCAGAATACGTTCTTCTTTCTGAGAGAAAGAACACAATAGTTGATAGAGAAGAGACAGTGTAATGATGATCGTCGCTATAAAATAATCAATAGCTCTGAATTTATCGACATTAAATGAATACTCAATGGAGTTGTCTTTTTGTTTTGTGAGAGAGAGGTACGTGATGCAAAACACATATTTACATACGTATTGATAAGATAAGATAGAGTCAAACGAAAGCAAATGTTGCATCGGTGTTTAAAACGAAATGCATGAAGCGTACCACATAAAAAGTGAAAAGAAAAGGTAAATGACTTTTTTTACGTTTGTGGTTGAGTTTCTATATGTTCCTCAATATTCGAAGATCTAGAAAATAAGTGGCTACCTCGGCACGTTTCAATCTGCCAAAGAATCTCTTGCAGTGGCTCTGATAATTTGTACCTAATCTTGAAGTGAAGGTGTGGGTGTAGACAATATCTACATTAACAACCCCACTCACATCCCAAAATATCATTTTTCGTATCCAACTTTAAATGTTTCATCGGAATGTATCGGTACACTAATATGTGAGTATAGACTATAATCATTTTAATCTCCGCCAAATCATTTCTAGATATTACAATACTCGCAAGGTCATAAATGAGTCACATTCTAAGCTGCTACATAAGTGAAAAGTGAATATTTATTTCAATCATTAACAAAAAAGACATTCAACAAAAATTTTTTTGACTCATATGGATATGAAAACAAAACGTTTGAATTCATTTGTATCAACAATTTGCAGGAAGGAAAAGCAGGTTTCAAGTCACCAACATATCAGCACCGATTCAATATTGAAATTTAGTGGTAGTGTGCTCATAGAGTTGGAGAATGCAATAAAAACTGAACTGGTTATAGGTAGATCTGAGAGTCATTCAATTAAAATTCAATTTTTCGAGAATAACGCTGTTTCTTAATAAAACTTGTCAGAACGTTCATTGAAGTCCATGAGTGAGAATCTACAAGTTATAGTTATTGAAATTTAACATTTTTTTAGTTCCTTAAACAACTGCATAATATATAGATGAGCAATAAGAAAAATCTCTCTTTCAATTAACGCTGGCTGCAAAAGAAATCAGCTGTAATCGTTTGCTTACTTTGCTGTTATTGGACAAATGCATATTTTCTTATCTTTTGAAGATTAATCAGTGTTGCAACCGATACCAGCCAGACCCGACTGAATCACATATAGCTCTGAATTTGGGTGGGCGTAGGGAAGGGGGTGTCGAAGTGAGGTTGCTTTATCTTTTTACACTCGCACCCATTTTGTTTGATAAGTAAATATATTACTATTTATGCCCTCATTCGACGCTGATATTTCTATTTGATTTAGATTAAATTGCCCAGAATCAAAGTATGTGGTCCTACATGTAGCACAATCGGGCTATATATGAAAATGATGTCGGCATGATTTATGTCATTCAAAGTCGTTTTGTTCCAGTTCATTTTCCTAAATACCCATAGATTAATTTTTTAAATAATTATATAAATTCGACGTAGATGCATGCCCAAGTGAGCAAAAAGGATAGTTAAAAGACTAGTCTTCTTTCTAGTCAAGTCGACCCGTCTCGTCTAGCCTTTGTCTCAAAATCTACTCGTCCACGACTAGTCCGAATTTTTGACCGTCATGCATACGCGTCCTAGTACCCTGATTGGCGACTAGTCATAAAATCTAATTAGAGTAGTCGTGACGAGTGTCCCTGTTACCCGTTCCAAAATGATTTACGAATGAAAAATGAAGGGCGTCTGGGGCGAGTATGCAACCAGCAATAGCCTTATATAGTGGACTGGGCTGGACTAGTCTGAATGAAAATATGTAAGGATGAAGATTAGATTCGAACATGTATACAATGTGACACTTACCCATCGCCAGAACCATTGAGCCATATGATTGAGAAGTCATATTCTACACACTCACGATCATTCTAAGCTACTATCAATATTTAATAAAATTTTTACTTCAAATTTTTTAATTTTATGTATCAATAAAAATTATCTTTTATCGAAACGCGATTACTTTAGATAACATTAAATAAAAATAAATTAAGAAGATTTTATAATTTTTTCGACAAATATATTTTGATTTATAGACTCCTAGGATTAAGTAGTTGGGTTTTGAAAATATTAATTTGAGTATAAAATTAAAAAAGTATTTGTATGAGTGTGGGTGTGGGGATATAAATGCTCTCTTCACTCACGCTCATACCCAAACCCTCACACACACGTACACCCACATCCCACACCCTCAAGAAAATATTTTTGTTGGCGCATCAATTTCAATCTTAAATTCATTACCAAAAATGCATTCATTAAAACTACAACATCCATAAAAAAAATCAATTCGAAGGCCTTTTTTCAGAGAAGTTAGTACTAAAACACTATCGATAATGATGTGAGTCGAAAAGGAACATCGCCTTTCATTTCATAGACATTTTTAATTGACGATATAAAGCGTGGCATGAATATGATTTCGAAAGAACCATATAAAATATGAGACATAAATCAAAAAGAAGATGAATATCTTGAGTATGTGACTGTGGGTGCTCGTCTTTTTCACTTCCGTATTGATACCCCCACCCACACCCTTTCACAGTTTTTCACCGAGGAACAAATGGATTCGGTTTTGTTTGGCATGCGCAAAAACTACACGTTTTTCCACAACCGATTCAGAGTATTTCGATACAACTGAACGTATGGATGTTCGCCGCCCAATGAATTTTCACTGATTTGAACAGCTTGTTTCGCACACGACAGTGCTTTCGAGTGCTCGCCCATCTTTTCTTGCACTAAAGCAATAGCATGATAGCTGCGAGTAATATCCGGATGATTCGCAAGAAGGGACTCTTCTTGAATTTTCAGTGCTCGGTTGTGGAGATCCAACGCCTTTTGGTATTCGCCTTCAGTTGTCTTGATTGAGCCCATATTGTATATGGTTGTTGCTATATTTTGATGGCTGGATGATAAACACTTCTCTTGGATCTTTAAAGCTTTGCCATAGTATTCCAACGCTTTTTCGGGTTCTTCCATACTTTCGTGAAGTTCACCAACTCTATTGTACATATAGGCGAGGGTTGGATGGTTTTCAAACAGAGAACCTCTGTAGATTTCCAGCGATTTGGTGTACGACTCATGTGCCTTGCTGAATTCCCCAATGTTTTTGAAAACCATTCCGATGTTGCTGTGAAAACCAGCTACATTAGGATGTGTCGGAGACAGTGATTTTAGACTGATTTCGAAACATTTTTCATGGAACTCGAGTGCTTTGGAGTATTTTCCCATCTTATCATGCACTGAACCGATGTTGCTATAAATAGCAGCTAAATCAGGGTGGGTCGGAGGCAAAAATTTGGGTGTGGGTGTGTGGGCGGGTGTGGGTGTTGCCATAAGTGTGGGTGTCAGTGTGAGTGTTGCCATAAGTGTGGGTGTGAATGTTAGTGTAAGTGCGCTGAATTCCGGAACCGTTGGGAATTAGGCGGAATCTGTTTGAATTCCGTGTAATTCCGGAATTGAATCGGAATTGATAAACGGAATTCCGGGAATTTGATGGAATTGATCGGCAGTGATTCTCGGAATTCCGGAATTGAATCGGAATGGATAAACGGAATTCCGGGAATAAGATGGAATTGGTTCCGTGAGCGGAACTGGTTCCGGAATGTTCAACATTGCGGAATAGAATGTATTCTCGATAATAGCTACTCACTTGAAAATCTGTTGGTGAAAGTCTTAAAAACAATATAAAAAAAAAGAATTTTGTAGTTAACATTATATTGAAAATATCAGTAGAATTTTGAACATGAATATAGATTAAGATATTCATGTATAAAGATATATATATATATGTAGGATAAAGACATGTTAGAAGTGTGTAATTGAATAACATAAATTATTATATTTCAAAGGGATGTCTTGGTCTTTGTTTCTCTTATTTACAATCAAAGGCTAAAATATAACTGATACCATCTGTCATGTTTGCTGTATTTAGCTTTTGATATCATTTTCAATCTACTAATTTCAAAATCAAAGTCTATCACACGATGAATAAGGGTTAATTGCTATTGTTCTGTTCCTAAGAAGTGTACGCATCAATAGACAGAATCATTCGTTTTCTTTTTAAATAAAAATATGTTTATTCTGTATTAAGAAAGAAATAAACCTTTTAACGAAAGAATTTACTTTTATAAAAAGAAAATGAGACATTTTACCAGGTGAATAAACAAAACAAAAATAATCGAGCATAATTTTCTATTTAACAAAAGCACTCTTATTTTTCACAATAAATTTTCAGCAACCGTAAGAGTTACCTGACGAACAAAAATCATCTAAAAAATCAACGCATTCAACAATTGATGCCATCCATCGATGATTTGTGTTTTATTTTCATGCTTACTTTTTTCTCTTTCTTTATTTCCTTTTTTTTGCATTTTAATGTACAATAGAATGATGAAAAATTTTTAATACGCATTATTCTCGAAAACAGACGAGGTTCTTTTATCATAGATGAAACAAATAATGACAGTGGCAACAAAATTTTCTGAACAACGCACACTCGCGTAAATGACTACATGCATATTAGATATATCATCAGGTGAAGCAATTAATTCTTTAGAAACAGCATCATGAACATCAACATTATTTATTCTTATTGATATGATAATGGAGATGGTGGTGCTCGTATATCAATAATACCTTCTTCTCGAATAATTTTGAATGCATCTTACTCAACAGCACGCTCAACATGTTCACTATGATCAACTAATGATATAATATTTACACCATCAAATTGAACACCGCACGAATTATATAATTCATGAACATTAAAAAATGAGCCAAAATAATAATTATACACAAGATCTTTTTGTCGAAAAAGTATACTACAAACAATATGAATAGTTCTTCACCATTTTCTTTACTACATCAGTATCTGTAACTGGTATTTCTTATGTTGTGTCTAATACTGTTTCAAGTAACATTCGCACATCAAATGCAGCTGGTTTTTCATGATAATGTACAGCTGGATATTTTCCTCGATAGACTAAAATTCTTGGTCATTCAGTGGCTTCTCTCCAACTAAGACCTCGTGCAATTGAATGTGATGATGTTGCATTATTTAATGCTTGATCATCATTAATACCTGTTAGATGAACTGAATCTTCACAAGTAAAACTCGATGGTAATGAAATACACATTGCTTTAAGAACTAAAGCGAAAAGAATATAAAAGAAAAGATATGACAGCGTTAAGAAAAAGACTAGGAAATACGCTTTCCATATAAACGTTCTTTCATTAATGCTGGTACTTCTAGTTTATCAATATCATCAAATTGGGTTGCAGCATATGCTTCTTCGATAATATTGGCCATTTGTTCAATTATATTATTTTGTTTATTCTTTTTAAAATCTCGTTTTAATTGTTGTTTTAAATCATTATATGGTTTAAATTGACTTTATTTTTGTTCTTCTGAATGTGTGAATGTTTTATTAACATAAACAATCTAAATGATTATTATTATTCGATTATTTATTATGATTAATTAAGACTTTTGTTCGATTAGTTTTTAAACTTTTTTCGCATGATTAGTTATTAAAACCGATAAAAGTCGTTTATCATCATCAGGTGCTGCTTGTAATTGAAATAGACCTTGCTTTTGTGTTTGTCTCATTAATTCAACTGAATCTTGACATGAATCATGTGCTTTAAAATATTCTCGATGTAATTGTAATGTTAATTCATTCCATGTTGGTATCTAGCATTTGTTGAAAGTTTGTGTAATCTACGACGTAAATTCTATTTTATTCATTCTTTTTGTTTTCGTACTAATATTTTTTCTTTCGTTTAATTACTAATTAAATATTGTTGTAACCACGATAGTTAATTTAATCTTAGTGCATTATATTCTTCCATTATTTATACACCTGTTTGATTGTTACAAAAATTTTCTGTTTCTGATATATTTGAATTAAATATATAAAGATTAAGTTTTTTCATTTATCTTTCCTATATCAGAATGATCGAATATATCTTTTGTTACATCAATCATCGGATCAATAAGATAAAATGCTTGCTCACATTCAATTTTGAAGTGATTACGAATTTACTGATATAAAAACGGTTTGTGGGGCCTATATGGCACTAAAGTTTTATGAGTAACTTTTTCCGTTTCTTTTGAATGTTCCGAAATAGTTCGTATTTTGGTGGCGAAGATTCAATATAATTATGCAAAATTATTTGTAATTCAGGACGAAGATGATTCAATTGTGAACGCCGACGTTCATCAAGTAAACCAGTTGATGAAAGAGTTGCCGATGGTGCTGCGGGAAATTTTGTTTACGAACGACCAGGTATTTTATAAGAGCTTGTTCTATCACCGATTGAACTTAGTTCTTTTTTTCCAATGCTTTCGCTACAGTACAAGCAATAACTTCGTTTTGTTAAGCAGAGCCAGGTCCGCTATACAGATAAACATATATCCTAAATTAAAGATTGGACCAAAAATCAAACGCCTTAAAAAACACGAACTTATTAATATTATATAAATTTACAATTATGAACGAAATTTAAACATCAATAGTGGAGTTCACAGACATGACCCCGAGACTCACAACTCAAATCTACAAAGTAATATCAGTGAAAGAGCTTTCTATCCGTTCAGTCATCCAGATTCGTGCATTTTCTGTATTAAGATTCTATCATATGATTGTGCACAATCTAAACACTATCAAACGCACAATCTACTCCGAAGAGCTTTTAGAGCAATACATAACGAGTCCATATCCGAAGCATTAGGCCTTCATCAATTATTGTGAAACCAAACTTCCTTCAACTCAATGTATTATCAATGCGATATTCTTCTTCGATGCATTCTCAAAAAGTCAACAAAATATGACATCAAACTATAATACAATGCCACAAACTTCAAAAATCATCCTTCCAAATGCACAAATTACCCATTTACAAAGTCAAAAATTTTGCTCAACGCAACGCTCGCTTTTCTTCTCTCTATCCTATAAAACCACAAACCATACTTCATCCCAGTCATCCAGACGATAATTATACGCCAAAACCCTAAACAATGAGCCGTCTTAGCAAATAACCATGATTCCTACCGTGATCAAAATCCTTCTGACTGCTGATGTTCCATACAACTCGAACTTCTACATCGAACACAAACTGTACCATATTCAACAAAGGCGGTTACGCGTCTCCGGGCTGGGCTTACCGCTAGAAAGTCACAACGGGACCAGTATCGGCCTTATAACCACTTCCCCATTTGCGAAATGACGATGCTTCACAGTGGCACCATTCCATACAGCTCGAAACTCTGCCCCAATCACAATCTCTTCTACACTCAACACAAGTCGTTGAGCGAATCGGGGCTGAAGTTACTGGTAGAAAATCTCATTGGGACCACGTTTGCCTCGAAAACCACGATTTTTACCCGATGAGAACCTTTGATAGAGGCATCCTTAGATAGAGCCCGAAATTCTGCATGTAACACAACCTTTTTCAGAGTCAACACAAGTCGTTGAGCGAATCGGGGCTAGAATTGTATTTTTTGGTGAAGCGGTTGCTAGGGAAAAAGTGGTAGTTGCGTTGATAGGTGTGTTTCTTCGACGGTAAGGCATTCGGAAAATGTGATATTCGATAGAGCTTGGTATTCTGGATTGAACACAAGTTGTTTTTGAGTTAACACAGATGTTAGTGCGAATCGCGGCTGGAAAAACTCGAATCTTGTGCTCACTTCCCTTACGTTGAATTTTTTTGGTTTTGGTTATGTTATTTAATACTAATAGTAATTCAAATAAGGAATATATTAATATTTTGATTAAAGGATTATTCAGCGATTTCACAAAATTGTAAATGTAAGATATCTAAATAAATGATATTCTTGACTGAGCAAAAAAACATAAATCAAGTGGAAAGCAACCAGAAAAGTTTCTCTATGAGTTCTTCTTTTTCTCCTTCTGTAAAAAATAGAGAAAAGAGTAACACAAGATCAGAGATAGACAAGAAGAAAATGAATGGGAGACAAGAAAATAGATCTAGGACTATCCTTCTGTTTGTAAAAGAATTCTTTGATTAACTTTAACAACCGGACGAAAAAGTAACGACAATAGAGTGCAAATAGAAAGAATGAACATGATTATCATAATAGCAATGTTTTGATAGTAACTAAACGTAACAAATATGAATTGAAATGAAATGAATTCTTGTTAACCTTTTTCCAATTTTCATCGGCTATTATGTACATGTATAATGAGAAAGCATTGAAGCGTTAAAGACCTATTAAGTTAATTTAGATATTAAAAAAACAGATCGACATATGATTAGATATAAAATATTAAGAATAGAAAAGCCTCGAAGCAAGAATCAATAACACCTCAAATTTTATAAATTTTTCTAGATGAAAATCTTGAATAAATAACTTAAGATAATGTTCGCATTTTGTACGATCTTGTTATATATCTACACTAGCTAGGTTAATGAAAAATTTTATATGAAAAATTAAAGTTTGTATTTCTGTAATTTTATTTCAAATCAAGGGCAAAATGTTGAGTTAAATCATTCATAACTCAGTTAAAAATCATTTCAATCGTTTGAGTCTCGATTAGCTGAGCTAATTCGCAATGAGTTTGAGTCATCATGTGTGATGCTTGTTGCCTCTCGACAGTTTTCATTTATTTTTGAAGACTTTTCATTTTCTCCAACTCAATCTCTCTGTTTTGTTTGAAATACATAGTTAATTCATTTGAGAAAAAGAATCACTTCTTGATATAATATAATAATTAAATTCCAATGAAATTGATCATTATGATGTTATCTTGCTCAATCAATGTCGGGATCTCTTTTTTATTTTTCTGATAGAAAGAAAAGAACATCAGTCAAAACAATAAACTTCTATAAAAATAACAGTTATTCTCCTTCAAAATAATACTTTGATGATACATACGCTAATTGCAATGCAATCGCATGTCACTAATTGACAACAAAAAAAAGAACAACAGCGACATGTTCAATAGAGTTTGATCCTTCTCTATTGTAACACACATACACGCATATATATATATATAATGATTGTAAATATTCTCACACATTTAGTTTCATCATCTATTCATCACTAGTCTTTTCATCAAATATTATTAAGTTATCAATTGTTATCAATGAAAATCATATTCGTTTACATTGTTTTTTTCTTAATTTTATGCATTCAGGTAGGTGAATTTCAATATAATTTGATCATAGCTCATTTAATTGCACATATAGGCCGATGAACTCGACCCATTATCTGATTATCTTAAAGGAAAAATATTATTTGCAAAAATAAAATCAAAAACAATATCAACAACACCATCAACCGCTCATATAGTCGCCGATAC